ACCGTTCCTTTTCGCTATTATTACGCGATCTAAATGTCATAATCGGTTCCTTTGTCGATCTCTTCGAGCTTCCTTAATTACTGCTTCATTCTCCCGAACGAAATCGGCTTCGATCGGCATCAGATCGAATAACGGATCAGTTTTTAAACGTGAACGCAAAACGCAAAGGCAGAAACGAACGAACAGGTGAAAACGATTTTCATTTGGTTGCAAATATTTACACCGTGGTGGGTTACATCGTTGCATAATTCCTTGTTCGCGTGATCGTGTAATCGGAAGAGAAAACATTAATACCCACGTTCGTTCATTGACATCCCAGAGGAAAAGTTACGATCCGCGGATCATGATAATTACGCGATATTCACAGGTTGACGTCCTTTGCATGTTTTGTTATTTAAATTATCTCAGAAACTGCGAATCAATGGTACGGAAGTGATTGTGCTCGAATACAATCGACGACGATCTAGCAACGCCCGATGAGACACTCGAGTTGCTACTTACCTTATTAAAGCTATTTTAACTGACGCAAAACACGACACTATTTACGTCCTTATTTCTCAGGAAATTTAACAGAGCGCGACTCGTTACGTAAATAAGAGCGGATATCCGAGCGACAAGCGCTCGCGGCTTTCAGTCCCGTTAATTGATAAAAAATTGATATTCACTCTTCCGATTAAATAAAAATTTAAAGGATTCATTTGGCAAGGAAAAGAGAGACAGAGAAAAAAATGTTTTTCCATCTCTGAACACTATATATATCTCATATATATATATACATATATATATACATATATATATATATATATATACAGAGAGAGAGAGAAAGAGAGAGGAAGAGGGAGAGAGAGAGAGAGGATTCCCATGGGTAAAACGAGAGAAAAAAGTCATCCCCTGTAAAAGAATTTAATATCGTGACCCGTGCCGGTTAATCCAAAAGATCGAGTTTAAAAGAACGACCAGGAAATAAGCCCGTGTAAACAACGGAATTTTTTCCCCCCTGCCCTGAGTATATTGTCCACGATGTTGTGCAAACAACAACAAAAACCTAAACGAAATTTTTTGGATATTTTTGCCCCCGTGTGTGTGTGTGTGTGTGTCGAGTGCACGACAGCCTGACATATTTATCCCTCGCGCGACTGTTCGCCAAATAATAGAAGCAAAATGAGAATTCAAGACGAATTACGAGGGTATCGATCAAACGTACGGTCGGATTTCATCTCGCAGCCTTGGATAGAAAGCTTTTTCCAGGGCGGCGCGATGATTTTAAAGAATCACCTCGGCAAGCGCGATATTTACGCGTCGTCCGGCGGCCTGCTCCTACACGATCGGTTATTTATAAAGCCATTCACGATAATCAATAACCTATGTTGTTCTCTCCCCCTTGCAAGGCGAAAATTCACCAACAGCACGGGAACACTTGTGCAAAACCTTTTCTCTCTCACACATGACGAGGCGAGAAAAACCAGAAGGGAAAAGTGGGAGAAAAAGAGAGAGAGAGAGAGAGAGAGAGAGAGAGAGAGAGAGAGTGAGAGAGAAGGGGCGGGGGGAAAGCCGAGGGTATGTGACGAATACATATTTATCGAAGCCTAACGACGCGACGGACGCGCGCAATCCGGCAACGTGATATGAAACGCACCAGTTCATCCTGGAACCTATTGAAAATTTCACGTCGTCGAGCGAAATCCTCCTATGGCGTGCTTAAATACGGCCGAGGGAAATGTTTATTAAACAACCCCAAGGATATTAAGGAGGGATGGTGACTTTAAACTCGGTGCTGTGATTGCGATAACGGCGGTGTGAAAAATATTCACCTCGACGAACTCAATGTCTCGAGATAAAAACTATTATATATAACTTTTATCTGTCAACAGATAAAAACTATCGACGACCGATGATATTTCTGAAGAGACCAAACGGACGATGAAACGCTCCGTAGAAGTTGCACTCGTAAAGAGAAGGACTCGTAAATAACTTAAATGGACAAAATGGTAAAAGTACAACGATTCGTGTCCCATCGAACGTCAGTCTCAACGACGATACGGTCAACTCTCCTCTCTCTGGGTGCTCTCCGCCGTGGCAAAACTGAAAAGACGAACCGGCACGCAAATAATCAGGAAAAGTTTCATATCGGTTGAAACCCCCTGTCCCTTTCCTCCCTTTTTCACTAACGAAGCGACGCGACGCGACACCGCGGCGCGAAGAGCTGAACTTTGTTTCGTCACGAAGTAAAATGCAGCCCTCGTGATCGGCCAACCGAAAAGTATCTCCTCTTTCTGTACCATTAATCCGGTCGCGCGGCATAAAGGCCGTGCGCGCGTGATATGCAAGAATGGCTACAGGAATTCTACTAACGAGACAAGATGGGACGAGCATTATTTCCTGTCAGCGAAAAATATTCCAACTCATAACAATGAAACATCTATTTCGTGTCGCGTTCGAGACACTTACCGCCGCGCCATGTGTATCAACCTCCAAAGCATAACGAACCGTGAAAGAAACACAGCAAGACGTTACTACTTTTTCTCCCCACTTTTTAACTTCCCCCGTTTCCTCTTTTTCTTTCGCCCGTTTGTTTTTCAAATGCACCTCCTTTTCTCCTCGTGTCGCCCGCGTACCCGTGCGCTTTTTATTTCATTACCGTGAAAAGATCGCGACGCGGGAATAACGATCGTAGAACAATAGGATTTGACAGTTTGATGCTTAACTGGTATTATATGGATTTAGAGAATAGATTACGAGATTAAATTCTTTCGTAGAGACTCATTACGGCGGACGAAGAAACTAGACAATATAAAGGCGTATTAGAAGAATCTTTCGCGACGTATCCTTTTACGTTATATTACTCGGAAAAGGGACGCGATAATTTCTTTTCCTTTTGTTGCGACGTTTTCACTGAGCTCACGATGCTTTCTCATTTCTCTTATTTAATATCGTTACCGGTCTCGTGCATCAAAAAGGGTGGAAGAGTCGCGTCAATACGTGAACATGGATCGCGTTCTCGAGGAAGAAAATACCAAACCCCGTGGAATTAAATCGTCCCAACGTTATAGAACTTACAGAAGTTTTTGAGCAGTTTGCGAGCAGATTCGATTGATTTGCTCGAGAGAACCGTTTTCATCGCTCGAGCAAATTGGTAACTACGTTAACTACCCGGCTGACTTCCATTTGCATTTCTCTTTTTTCGTTCTTTCTTCACGTGTTTGTGATCGAGAAGAATAAGAACGTTCGCGTAAGAAAGTTACACGATCGATCAAAGGAAGCTGGGCCTCTTTTCCTTTTCCTTTTCACCGGCCAATCGAAGAAAAACCAATACCTTTAACCGATCGACTAAATACTTCAACTTTTCGATGAGTTCTGTTCCCTTCATTTTCCATTAATTTAACTTTTCACCGAAGAGCCAAGAGCGTCGAACACAAGCCACTGCAACGCAAACCGCCTACTTCAGGGGAATTGCAGAGGGATGGGCAGCAAAACTTTCTGCCAATAATGTAGCCATTTCCCGGGAAACAAATAGAGACAAATATTTCAATAATAACTACCGTGCATACACACACCTGTCTGTATGTGAATTTTAATTAATGAAAGACTCGTTTCTGAAAGATGATCCCGGTATCGTTAAACGGGAGGAGGGGCGGGGAGGGGAGGGGAATAAAAAGATCGGTCCCCATTGGCGAGAAAACGAGATAAACCGTTTCTCACCCAAGCCTTTATCAAAAGCATCCCCCTCTGAATCGGCTGGAAATCCGTCATACAATCCCTCCTACGTGTCTTTGATCTTCACGGAGCAAGAACGAGCATACACAGAACAGTTTTAATCATTTTGTACGCAGTCCTAACACGCATACATACAAAACGTCTCTAACGAGACGAGAGTAAGCAGGGACCGCAAACTGTCCAAGGATCCACTTCATACTCTCCGCCAAAAAGTATCTCACCCCCTTTGGTGACATCGTGGAAACCCTCCAGAGACAAATAACACTTCTTTCTCCCTAGCTACCGCTTTCTATCTCTATTTCCGCGATGGATTAAGACGTCACGTTTTCAGGTTTCGTTGGGCTTTTCTCGGATCGGCTCGAACAGTCGGACGCGATTGGAAAGTGATTGAAAAGCGATCGATGCGCGATCGATATACGATCGGTATACGCGAGCGATCGAAATCGATCGGCAATAGATGGACGACAAAAAGGTGGTAAAATTATATTAGGAATGTCAAATGCCGAGTAAAAAAAAGAGTACAAAAGAACGGTTTTCTTTGAGGAAAAGGAGGACACCGACTGGAGATGCATCTGGCTCTTACGATAATAATTTCCTCTCCCGAGTTCCCGTTTATTCAATTTCTTTTTTTATAATTAATCGATAGCTGGTCGATGATTGCGCGTAACCCCGTAACGAATCCCAAGGAATTCTAGAAGAGAACGTGCAGTCACGTTTCAATCGAAACTTTATTGAAACTTTATTCTTCGCTCCGTGCAAGAGTGGAGATTGTACGGTGGACACACGAATCGGATCGATTTGCGGATCGATCCTCGTGTGTCCACGAGGACACGCGAGCGTGACGTACAACAAGTTTCACCAAAAAAAGTCAGAATTCTCCCGGCCGCGCGTGCTTCCTTCTCGAAGCCACCAAACCGCACAAAATCATAACAGAAAGTCGAACGAAACCACGAACAATGAGCCAACGCAAGCATCTCGCACTCCTAATCTCGATGACCGAATTTTTTTCTTTTTCTTTTTTTTCCTCTATTTCGGACGGGGTACACGGAATTCACACAGATCATCGAACAGGGTGAACAACTAGCAAGTAACATCCCACGAGAAACAGATTTATCTCACTAGCATGAGACGCGATCTATCTCGATAGACGGAAAACACGTTTTCGTATGGCAAACCACTAACCACAAGCTAAAAGCAATGAAACACCGAGAACCGTGTAACCGAAGGAACGACTTGCTAAAAAAAATGATATCGATATCTTGAGAATGATAATGAGTCTCGCGTACCTGAGATCGGTTGATCGGTGGTGCAGGGCGCGGCGGCATGGTCCCGTCGCAACACAGCGCCGTTCGACGAGCACTGAGCAGCTATTCTGCGCCAACGGGGTTGCGTCGACGTCGAAAAGACGTGAACGGTCGTCTCTCACCCCTCGCGCTTCCCTCCTCCCACCACGTACTACCGACGCCACTCTTCAGGGTACTCTCACACGTATTACCCCCCTCGTGTCCCGCGTGCACACCCCTTCTCTTCGTCCTTCTTCCTCGCACTTGGGCTTGCATCCACTTGCATTCTTTCCTACTTCCTCTCGTTGTCTCCAGCCCGCTCTGTTACGTCCTCGAGGCTACCACCCCCGTGGCACATGCGCGGAGAATCCTGTCCAACAAAACTCTTCTCGTAGAGCTGCCAGAATTGGGAAAAACGGACCGTGGGAAAAGGAAGAGCCCACAGGGGAGGACGGAAAAGATCTGGGGGGCGGTGTTTTCTGAAAAACGTATGTTCCCTTTCTTCCTGTTTCTTTTTTTCTTCTCTTCCCTCCTGTCTCTCTGCCACGGTTTCTATCTCGTCTTTGCTCTTTACTTCTCTTTCCTATTTCTTCCACCGCATCTTCTTTCGCGCGCCCCTCTTTATTATTCTCTTTCTCCCCGTATCACTCTCTCTCTCTCTCTCTCTCTCTTCCTCTCTCTTCCTCTCTCGTTTTAATCCGTTCGTCCTTGTTTCTCTCTGACTTACTCGCCTTCTTTTCCTTTTCCATATCACAGTTCCTCTTATTATCTCGCTTGGTGTTTTCTTTTTTTCGTGAGACACGTTTAATTCTCTCCTCCTCTTCGCACGTTTCTTTTTTTCATCCAACACTGTCCGCCTCTTCGTTCTCCCAAGTGGACATTTTTTGCCCGGCCGTGTCACGTTCGCGTCGAAGTACATCTCTCTGAAACGCGTGGTTAAACCACCCTTCTCTCTCTCTCTCTCCCTCTCTCTCCCTTCCTCCCTTTCTCTTTCTTTCTTTCTCTCTCTCTCTCTCGTTCCCCACCTAGTTTAATTCGATGAATCTTCTGTTTGCTTGCGCTTCTGGCTCCGGCAGGGATTTCCGGAGGCTTTTGTTGCTTGCCGAGGGGTCGCGAAGACCAGAATACGCGACGATTCGCCGCAGTTTTACTGCTTCTGTTTTCTCGCTTGTACTCCTCCCCATTTTTCCTTCTTCTCTCCCTTCCATCTGGCCCATGCTCCCTCCTTTATTTCTCCTGACGGTTATGCGCGCGCGCTACCAGTTATGAAATATAACTTTTCGCGTGGCTTTTGGGTACACTTGGTAATCCTAAATAACTTGGCGGTTTTTCTTAAGAACGATCGCGTGTAGCTTTTATTCTTCGTCTCGTCTACGTCCCGGCCTCTTTTCGTCGAAAAACCACGGAACCGTGGACGGAGTCAGACATCTGTGAAACAACTGCGTTCCTTAGAATCATTATACAATCTGCATTTTTTACTGTTGTATAATCTAAATTTTTTACTGTTGTATAATCTTACATTTCTTACAATGCAAATGCTCTTACAGTGGTTCGCGCTTATCAAAGAACCATTGTCTAATTTTATGCGTTGAACAATCCAACGATAAAGCTCAAAGATTAAACTTTACAAAAAACAAGATAACTGCAGCGATAAACAGACACTAAGACGCCTTGATAACAACTCGGACGGTATTAAAGAAGAAAACTTTAAACGCTAAAGCATGAATCGCTTAAGCGGATCTCTGTACACTCGTTTTATCAAAAAGCTATCATAATTCTCGTCGTCTCGTTGTTTTTTCTTTTTTTGTTGCTTTCGTTGCTCGAAGAAGCTCCAGTGAAGCTCCTGCAGCGATAAATATCAGCCACATTCTGTCGTGACGATCGCGCTTAGTTAAAGGTCGGCCACGCGGTGAACAACGCGGCTAAGAAAATACAGTGGATAGAAAATGAAAAGGTTTCATTCGAGCGTGCCTTTTTACCCGTAATCACTCAGCCTGCTCTTTGTGTTACAGAATCTTGTCTAAACTAAACAAATGCCATTTTCTGGCGATCTCCTCGTAACGACTCGAGATACGAAGCGGCTTCGAGATCTTCGAGAACGAAGTTGCGATCGAGATAGGATTTACTCTGAAGTTCGCCCGTTCTTCCCTTTGTTACGCGCGTATATTCGACGAACTCGCGCCAATTTTTGCCTCCTGAACCGAGAAACGTCCGACTCCGAGGAAGAAAGAAACGCGCATCGCGAGCCCACTATACCTAGCGTGGAACGTTTCCTTGATTTTTAAGTGAATTCACCAGTAGTCCATTGACGACGAAACAACGAACGAGTCTCGGTAACTTTAAATAGCTTTCAAAACTCTCTGCTGTTGCGAATTACTTTGTTTTAAATGACGAACAAAAGACTCTCCTCTAGCTCACCTTCGTTTCGTTCTCTCTTTTCGGGATCTGTTTCGTTGGATCCTGCTTTCGTTTTGTTATTTTTTCTTTTTATTTCTTTTTTCTGTCTTTCTTTTTCTCTAACAATCGGCAGTTCTTTCTTTCTTTCTATTTTTTTTTTTCTTTTACCGTTTTCAGCTTTCGTGTGGGAGAATCGAGTAGAACGTTCAATGTCCGGACAATATGAGGGAACCGCCTACATTCCGTGTTTTTCCACAGTACTCGTCTACCCTGTATTCGCGTTACCGTGCGTTATAATCGAACATAAAACACGATGCTTCTGACGGTCGCGTATTTTCGCAATTGCTCGCTTCCTTTCTCGTGATTCTCCAACGATCCGGCGATTCCATCTCGCGCCTCACACGTTGTCGAACGCAACTTTCGGTGTAATATTTCAGGCTCGATACGAATCGTAGGGAAGAGGGAATAAAGGGGTCTTTCGATTCTTCTTTCCGTCTGTCATCTGTCTTTACGTGACAAAAACTTTTTCCTAAAAACGTCAACCATTTTCCAATTCCGCTTCAGCCGTCTCGTCTATATTAAACTTTGATCTTCCAAAGGGAAGGGAGAAACTAACTTTGACAACCTATCTTTCAGCAAAGAACAGAGAATTCCTCTCGTACGTGTACGTTGTTTCTCCATCTAAATTGAGCGTCTGAGAGGACGTAACGACGGATAACATTAAGTAATTACTTTTATCAGCAATTACAGTCACACGCTGCACGCGTGCCACATTGTTTACAGAAACATGGCTTACGTAGCTGATTTATAGTTAGATTGCCAAACGCACCAATTAACAGAGATCGTTCAATTAAATTCACGTTTTAACTTCTCTTTATTTCCGTTTGAATTCCTTTTTCTTCTCGAGAAGACACGGATACATCTCGTCGAATTTTCAGCACGATACGTGCAATTCATCGAGAGTCAACCGAAACGACGAATCCACAAGGAACAATGAATTTGACAGTGAGAATGATAAACAACCACACATCGTTGCTACGTATCGACCGATATTGCGTTGCAACGTGATTTAGGATCGGCGACAATCCTTACGAGTGATCAACAAAGAGAACACGACCGAACGACCAAACCCGTACCGTTAAACATACCATGATATCGCATCGTTTCAGGATTAAATGCGAAAACTTATGTTTCGCATATAAACGCGCGAACCTTTTGCATAACTCTTTGCATTCCATTCAGATTTGGAACAAAATCAACTCTCGTTTGGTGACAATTGAAATCGATGATTAAATTTATCCGCATCGCTGTGGATAAATTGACTCTGTAACGGCGTTTTTTCCGCTTTATTGTTACGTATACAAGAATTACATCGACCGAATTAACGTTCCGAGCGAGCAGCCTGATGAATATTCAGTGTGCCGGACTCTTTGAACTTGAGCTGCATTAATATTGAAAGCACGCGAGAGATGAAAAGTACTTAAAGAAACAAAAAAGACGCGAATTGATTGAGATTCGTCGCGTGAAAAAGTCCGCCGTCATTCCGTGGCGCCATTCGGTCGGAAATTGTTTGCAACAGTGGAAAAGTACATGCATGCAAAATCTCCAGCGCGGAAAGTAAACTTTAACTATATCGACAAATCGTAAAGAGATATATTCGTTGATAGTGCGACGGCATCCGACGACGTGCCTCATCTTCCATTCTCGCCCCCTTTTCTGTAGCTCGCAACCCCATCCGCCGTCCGGAGAATTTTTCAGAACCACGCGCTCCGTGAAAGGATTCCGCGCCACGGCTGCCAACGAATAACACTATTCCACGATCGTGTCTCAGACATCGGATGAAACTTATTTTCGATGGGAAATCTTCGTATTCCGCGGCAACTTTGGAAGTTCGCGATGAATATCGATAAACCATCGTTCGAACGCGCGAAATCTACAAAATCTAGAATCGTTCCGTTACGAACGAAAATGTGAGACAGAGAAATCCGCAAAATACCAGGATTCGAAAACTCTGATGAATCTTTTATTTCTGGTGGAACATTTCCCTATCAGCTTTGGATAAAAGTCGAAGCTTCGAACGTGAAGATAAAAAAAAAAAAAAGGAAACGGAAAGAGAATAGACAAAGGTATCGGAATGACAAATGAAATGAACCTTGATCTCGTCGATCTGTATTCTTTTGGGAAGGACGGAGGAGGGAGGAGAGGAAGCAAAAGCTTTTTTGGGGAGATCAATCGTTTACTTTTTCACTCGCTCTTGCAGGTCTGTTCGGCAGGTTACAGACAGCGATCAAGTTGGATTACGTGCATAGCTAGAAATTCAGCAGGTACCATTGCCTTCCAGCTAACGTTCCACACTGTTTGCACGAATTTTAATTACATTCTGGACAACCGAGCGTATACCTTCGCATACACAGCTACGGAATATTTCATGTCCTTTCATGCGAAACCGAGCCTCCGTGACTCGCATATCCGATACGATTCTCATAATTACGTTGTCCCGTATCCTCATCCATGTGCCATCAAACCGATACCTCTCTTCTGTCATCGAAACGAATGCAGCAACGGGTTTTACGTGTATCGAAAGATAGAAGAGGGCAGACAGTTAGCGTGATATTTTTTCGTTCGTATTCTTTTTCTTTTTTTTTTTTTTTTTTTTTTTTTTTTTTTTTAAAANTTTTTTTTTTTTTTTTCTTCTGAAAACGACTGACTTGACGTTTCATCCACTATCTGACGATACCGTGAAGAGAGCACTTGAAAAATATCTCCTTATCGAACGCGCGGTTCGTCTTTTCGCGTTCACGTAACGCGGGTATACGCGCGAAGACGTATAGCATGACATGATCGAAGGGACAGGTCGAGTTAACGCCACGGCGCTGGCTTTTCATATCCGTGGCTGCGCGCTTTTTAACGCTTCAACCACCATATTTCATTTCGGATGAAAGTGCGTCATCCATTTCAAAAGGAAACTGCGTCCCCCTGGTGGACGTGATCTCTCGGTATGCTGATAGCGCGTCCTCCGACCAGCCACGAGTTTCTATCAAATAGCCAATGCAAATAGGCTATTTACAGTGGCTACAAAAACAAACGCAAACGCCGAACTCACAATCGGTCTTCCTCGTTGCACGTTACACACACCGAATCGCCGAATGTTCGTTCGCAGTGGAATTATCGTACACGAATCTATCGCACGCACGCACACATCGGGATGTAGTAACGACGCCGACGACGCCACGACAGTTGAAAAGAATGAGTCAAACGCAAGTTAGATAGCGATTCTGTTTGCTCGATTACCAGGTCAAAGTTCGCCAGCTCACGCTGCCAGTATGCCACTGCACTATTTACGTACGTACGAACGTTTCCACATTTCCATGCGAATTCGTTCCACAAAGGGCGCACAAAGAGACGGACTTTGCGTGGCCTTGACTCGCCACCACCGTCAGACCATAGTTTTCTGAAACTACGACACATGTACAATGTACAACGATGTCGCTCATTGTTTGAGGCGTCAAGAAATGAATGTTCCCCGCAGAAGAAATTCCCGGCCTCCCACCAAGTCGACAGCGTCACATTTTTGTACTTAAGGATAGACTTCTAATCTTCGCTCGCGATAACGTCGACGTCGTTTTCTGCCGCGATTTCCAAGAGCAGCGAGCAGTAGTGTGTCGTTGACCATTGCGGCGACCGCTCCGCCTCGCCACCGAGGTCCACGTTCAAATCTAGTCCTCTTCTTCTTCATTTTCTTTCCTCATCGCGCCTTCCATCTGCCTCCCCTTTCAACAGATCCTTCCAAGTGAAATTCGCCGAAAGTATTCGCTCGAAGGGCTTTTCCTTCGCAGATTATATCAGACCTGCCGTTCTAAGGCAGCCGGTCTTTCGATTAATACTCGACTTGAATCCAACGCTTCTTTCCCACTCCTCTTTCTCTCTGTCGTTCGGCAACCTTTCCTTTTTTTTTTTTTCTTTTTCATCGGGAAAACGACTCACGGTGCCATCGGGTGACGTTCCTTCGATTAGGAAAATCGTAATAGTGTCGCGCTGGTGAGAACGTGAGCAAAAAGGGGGAAAGAAGTTGAAGAGGCAACCATGTACGCGAGGTTGTTACCATTGAGATCCAGTAAACTTGGATGTTTTCCAAGGAGATTGGCTTCGTCCTCTTCGGGGCCGAGGGTGCCCGAACAAGCAGTACGTGCAATTTTTCTTATTTTCGCCCTTTCATTTCTTTCCAACTGCGAACCGACCGAGATCGATCGATCCGGCTTGGGACGAACCAGAACAATTGATCAACTCCTACGGCCGCTGATTCAATTTTTAACGCGCGCGACCGTCCGTGTTTTTAATCGAACGTTGCCACTCGAGGAGAGGTTTCGTGTCGTCAGCTGCTGTAATTAATAAAACAACCGATCCGATATTCCCTCGCGTGAGCGTCAGGAATTGTTTGTCCTAATCTTGACGGAGAAAGCTGCAGAAAATGGGAAAGGGATACGTGCAACACTCGTGTGATCGACACGATAAAAAAAAGATACGCATATGTGCATTGACATAAAGTATTCAAACAATCAACTTGTAGATTGACAGTGGATACGCATTATGAATATATCATGCATGTTGCGTGAAACAATTTGAACTTTCATTAGCATCAAAACACGATTATATTAGTAAAGTCTGAAGCAAATCTGAAACTTCGTACACAAGTTAAAGATCATTAAACGAAAGTCATTTACAAACAGTCAGTTATTCACTGTGTTAATAAGTCGACTTCAAAATTTGTCATTGTAAATAAGATAATTGTGTCTCGCGCGTGAAATTTCAAAATATTTCGTGTAATGCGTATGAAATATAAAAATAAAAATTTTCTATAGTAAATATTCTATAGTAAATATTATACTTTCGCAAACGAGTGTAGCTTCAAAAATTTGTCCTTTCAATTTTACATATAATTTTCTCGTTGAAGGATTACCATCTCGTGTCGAAACTTTCCACTGCGTTATGTCACTCGGCAATGATTTTCACGGCGAGATAATAACGAAAATTATTCATCGCACGTAGGATCGAAATACGACCATAAATAATGACATATAGACGCTGCGTAGCATAGTATACGTCCTAGCATACGTATTTCGATAATTTTCTAACAATAAACAGCAACGAAACCCGTTAAACGAGCTTTTAAACAGCGAATACATCGTTCGATTTCAAAGATCGCTAGTTTAATTGGCCGCTATAAATGTAACGGACGACGTTATCACGAATACATAATACAAATGATATCTTCATATACACATACACGCAATCACTGAATTATAAATGTATCGTTCACATTTGCACTCATTGTGTGAATCCGAATATCCCTTTCTTCCTGTTTCACTCGCGTATTCAAACGTATAAAAGAATCGCGATCCATCAAAATTTCAACCAAGGTATTTCAGAAAAATAACGGATCATCGTTGTTGATCGAACTATCGCCGAGACGTTCGACAATGAAGCGATTATCATGTATATATCAGCTACTTCTGTTTGCTTCTCGATTAGACAGTGAAGATAAATAAGAGCATTTCAAATAAATTTTCCAGAAGAGAATCGGCCTTTCCTCCTCTACGACATCGGTGCGAGCACGATAAGAATCGCGTTTTATCAATTGCCACTGAATCACGATCCGGCCGCGATACGAGCAGCGAGAAATGATCGTCGATAATTCGGATAGCGTGCACGTTTTTCTGTAATTCGGAAGCGAGATCGATCTCGTCGCCGCCCGCGATGGGCATCGATCTGAATCAACAAGTTGAACAAGATAATAGGCTCGTCAAAGCCTATAAAGATATTCGAAAGAGAACGTAAAGCTCCGAGCGCAAAAAAAATTCCTTATTACGGGCTTCGAAAAAAAAGGGGTTGTAAATTAGGATGGAGTGAGCGCCTTCGTCAAAAGGCTAGAGTCATTGACTGTTTTGTGACTGGAACGCAGAAAATAGCCATTATTTTGAAAGTAATTGACGTTTAAGAACGTTTTAACTCATTGTGCTAGAACAATTAGTGGCTATCGGCCTGGTAAAAATTTTTCGTTTTCATTCTTCATCGTACGTACGGTATTATATACCCGTAGAATGCAATGAATGAAGGATACGATAGTGTTATTACATCGCGCAGAATCGTAGATCACGCTCAACGTTACAATCGGGAATTGATTATAGCTGAAAACAAACTGCGTCTTGAGAGACGAAGATAAGAGAGCACGAAGTGATTTATCACGCACAATCGGCAATTTTTGGCTTGCGAAACCAACAGAATCTGCGTCAGAACGAATCTGGAATCGACGATACGTCATTGAAAAACGATTTCTCTTGGCAGGGAGGGAAGGAATTCGCATAGTGGGGGAATTTAGATATTCAAGTAAGAATAGAATTATCAAAGCGAAACGAGGATTCGATGAAAAAATGCACAGAACGCAAATTGCAATCTCCGACTGGGAAAATTGTTTTGACTTCGAATGAGTAATTCATCTGATGTATGTATGTAAGTAACTCGATTAACAGGAGTTGATGAGGAACGATATTGAGCTAAAACAAAATTCCACATATTCCCACAGATCTTTTTTCCTTTCTTTTTTTCATTTTCTTCTGTCCTGCCCTTCTTTTTTACACATTTATACATATTTTCTCTCTTTCACTTGTAGCTTGAGCATTCAGTCGTATCAGAGCTTGAGCTCAGAACTTGTGCAAAAATCCCTTTAACATTTAATTCGTTGGAGCGCACACGTAAACAGAACTGTAATTATATGTAACGAGTCGATTGGTGTGGGGAAAGATTACACGTGTACGTATGAAAGTATGTCGAGTGGTAATCGGATAGAAATTGGCAGGGGGTTTTTCGTGCTCGATTGAAGTGCTGCACACAAAGATAACATCCGAGAACTTGAACGACCGTAAACACACGCGATCGTAGATTACGCGAACAGTTTAAAGAAACGACCAAGTTTAAAGAAAGGAGAGAATCGTCGAGATCTTTTATGTAATTACGTAGATTTCGTATTTATGTGGTTCGTCGTTGTGCGTAAAGAAAGAAAAAAATAAAATAAAATTCGCTTCGTGCGAATTAGATGAAACATGCAAACTGACTCGCTCTCGCGTACAAAGATGTAAAGCGAAACATTTCGACCGTTCGTCGTTACGAACGCGGGGAAAAGTATAGAAATCGTTCGAGGCTTTTCATTTGCAAATGGAAAGATCCCTGCTTTAGATTTTAATGACTGTCCTTGATGAATGACGCGTCTTACGATGGCACGTTTGACATTACGTACGTTTCGAAAAGAGCGAATACAGAAAAACGATTTAAAACCTCCCCTGAGACACAACGTCGCGCGTAATCAAACTGAAACAGCCACGATCGCGAACAAGAGAAAAATTTCACGATTGAAAAAGCTAAACAACCATTAATTAATTTTGTAAGGGAAATCGAGTAGACTTACACAGAGAGTTGCAGACGACAGAGGGACCTCGTAAGGCAACGATGTTCAACGAGCGCAGCCAGCTGTCGTATACAAGACGTTTAGTGGTGAAACTAGGCAGCGCTGTCATCACGAGAGAAGACGAACATGGATTAGCACTGGGTCGTTTAGCATCCATAGTCGAACAAGTAGCCGAATGCCAAAACGGAGGTCGTGAATGTATTATGGTAACTAGCGGAGCGGTGGCATTTGGTAAACAGAAGCTCGCCCAGGAACTCTTGATGTCCTTATCGATGAGGGAAACGCTGAGTCCTGGAGGCCATATGAGAAAACGCTCAGGTATAATTCTACATTCGTATGTTGATTGTTCTTATTCATAAATACGTATGTGACCATATTCGACAAAAAATTTCGCTTACGGCGAAAGTGTGTTCTCTGAGAAAAACTTTTCTACGTAAATTTTGACAAATCTCTTTTATCTTCTATCTCACACACACACACACACACACACACACACACACACACTTGGTTTTGAAATAAAATATCGAGATATGTGGAAAATTACGTGTGAATGTAGAACACGGTCACATATATCTTCCTTTATACATAATATTAATATACTAATTAATTGTCCATCATTGAATATCTCTCGAGCGACATATGCTGATATTAAACTTTGTTCAATCGTGGAATTCATCGATTGCATTTCATTGTAGAACAGCGTAGAACTTCACGCACGACTCGCGTTACAATACAGCATAACGCATTCTGCTCGATGATAATTTTGTACCACGAATCGGATATCCGACAGTAATTCGACCCAAGATCGTTTCAACGTGAATTTCATTCTCAAAGTGTTATCAATCAACTACAAATTAGAATATACGTTTCTCGCGGTTATACTTCGTATTTGTAATCTGTCTCCTTTATATCTCGCGCGTTAATGAGTTCCGAATAAATTTGTGAAAATGTATTCTGATTTGTCGTATTTCTTCGCCCGTATCTCTCGCGATCTTAATTCCCGATCTTAATTCGTCCTCTATTAATTAATCGTAATTACACGAGTTGTCGGTGATCATACGAAACGTGAGGAGAATAGTATTCTCTCGAGTTTTAATCGTTCATGACGGATCGATCGGCCGAATAATACCGGCAATTTATAATGATTAAAGTGTACCGAATATAAACCCTCATCTGCGAGTATAATCTGTTTGCTTGGCAAGGTACGTTTCTCCGAACGATGCAATTAATCCAAAAAAGAAATATGCACGTATGTATAATATTCGTGAATCGTACGACAACATAAATCCGAAGAATGTTCAAAAAACGTTTGAAACGAATAGTGTGATTATCGTATGAAAGAACTTCCTAGATGAAAGAAACAATAGGTAACTAAATTACATCACTCTGGAACGATCTTATTTTTTCTTTTCCTCTAGAGAACGAACAATTTGTTTGCAATGTTCATTAGCAGGGAACATTGTCGTTTGCTTACGTTAATGGCGTGGCAGGGATATTATTTTTTCGTGGGCATTCACGTAGCGGCCGTGTGAAAGAAATCGATACGAGGGCTCGTAAATTTCGTAACGAACGGTAGACCGTCGACGACAGAGACGCGTCGGAACGTCCCCGAGGTACTTCCTGATATCCAGAGGCTCCTCGGCAACTTGACAATGTCCGGTCTTTCTATCTAGGTTAAACTAACAACCGCGAGCCGCCCAATTCTTTTACTGGCAATTCCTTCGAGATTCTATTTGCTCGGGAAAACATTCGCGGTAATTCCTCCTTTCGAGAGAAGCAGCGATCGAACGCGATAGACAGAAATTGCTGAGAAAATAACGCCGCCTTGTTTCTTATTACTCCCACGGAAACGTTTGAACAGAGTTCAATGGTCGTCCATTTTTTCTGGCATTCCCAACACGCTTTGGCAAGAAAAACAGGTTAACATAAAATTGCGAAAGCGTCATAAATGATCAAGACTCGTATTTTTTGCGTTTTTTATCTTACTCTTTATCTACACTTAACTTTGCCTATTGTACTTTAAATTTATAATAGTACGATAGTTTGTCCAGAAACAATGAACCATTTCGTAGTCGTAAAAAGAAGTAACTCTTATCATTTATTTGTGTCTACTCTCTAGTATGAACTTACAAACAGAAAAAATTTCCTTTACATATTGGTAAACAAGAGTGAAGCGGTGAACTGTTTTTAGACAAACTCCAGACAGCCGCAAAAACTATTCATCTAACTATACCGTTTATTGTATTATACACGATCTGCCGAGCGTACATCCAATTTAATGGTCCAATGGTACTGGATGGTACACTAATTTCGATGTATTATTTACACAGGCACTCCTTTGGAACCTAGGGCAGCAGCCGCAGTGGGTCAGTCTGGCCTGATGTCTCTATATGACGCTATGTTCGCACAATATGGTGTAAAACTGGCCCAAGTATTAGTCACCAAACCGGATTTCTACAACGAGGAGACTCGTAAAAACTTGTTCAGCACCCTGACCGAATTACTTAGTTTGAACATCGTTCCCATAATCAATACCAACGACGCTGTCTCGCCTCCGCTAAGCGTTGACGAGGAAATAACTGGCAGAGGCATTCCCATCAAAGACAACGATTCTTTGGCCGCTATGCTCGCCGCTGAGATCCAGGCGGACTTATTGATCTTAATGAGCGACGTCGACGGCATTTACAACTTGCCCCCGTGGCAGGACGGTGCTAAGATGTTGCATACATTCAGTATGGACCTTAGGGATACCATCAAATTCGGACAGAAGTCGAAGGTCGGTACCGGTGGCATGGACTCGAAAGTTAATGCGGCGCTTTGGGCTTTGGATCGAGGTGTCTCCGTAGTGATCTGTAACGGAACTCAAGAAAAGGCTATAAAGAATATTCTGTCCGGAAGAAAGATCGGTACATTCTTCACACAGACAACCGAAACTTCCACACCTGTAGAGGTTGTTGCCGAAGATGGTAAAAGCTTTTTTTTAGTTTCTAGCAAACTTTTATGTCTTTCGAGTGCTTTATGGAGTAAAAGGAATAAGTACATAGCTTTTGGCTGCTTAGGAAATCTCTTGCAAACATTGCTTTCGAATTTGCTTGAATAGTTTCAACACGTTTGACCCTTCAGGCGAATTATGAAAGAACATCTTTTTTTCCCTCCTCTTTCCTTTTTCAATTAGAGCAGAAATTGTTCAAGAAAGATTAGTTTGTACACGAGAGAGAGATAATTTTTTCGTAAAGGGATCGGTCAGTGGCGTCATTTTGTTCTACCGACCATAGCAATATAGGTCATCGATTATCGAAGGTAGAAATGAAACGGCTTACGGCTGCTGTATCGTGGCCATTGTACAATTATCCGCGACACGTATCGCGCGCCTCTCTCTAAGATATAGAAAAATATCACATTATTCGGGGGGAGTATATTCAATCGCAACAACTTTCAGTTAACATGGTCGGCCATTGAAAAAGTAAGTGAAAAGAAAAGTAGTTAAATATTCTTTTAACTAAAGAGCTTCTTCGGGAGAAAATACCTTCTATTCTCGTTACTAGCGTCGGATTCCATTAAAACTTATTTAATATATTCTTTGCGATTCAGCCGTTCGACTGTGAATAGCCAACGCGTTGCGAACCTTGTATTTCTTTCAAGGATAATCAATTTTGCCCATTCAACAAATGTAACTATGTACTTTTTTCCTTTCCTTTTCTAACATTGCGTTGTAGAAGGAGAGGAGGCAAAGTCCAATTACGAAAGCGCGCGATATAAAAAAACATCTATAAAGTCGGAAATCTCAGAAAATAAAAAATTCAGAATCTTTAAAAAGAAAACTATCGAACTGTGTCGAAGTATGTACTTTACGATGCCAAAACTTTATCTATAGATTAGACTGTCAGAATCACTTAAGACACAGTTTCTGTCTAAATATTTTACGAGATTTACGATGTTAACGCCAAGTAGAAAAAAGAAAGATCCATTTCATGTTCAAAAATGATAATTTACAGCTCGAATTGGGAGCCGAACTCTGCAAGCCCTTCAACCAGAAGAACGAGCAGCTTGTATCAATACGTTGGCTGATCTTCTGGAATCTCGTCAGAGGGAAATTCTAAGCGCTAACATGAAGGACCTCGAAGCTGCAGAAAAGAGTGGCTTGGCGAAAGCTCTGCTCTCTCGACTTTCCTTGACGCCTGCCAAATTGAAGTCTCTGAGCTCTGGTTTGCGGCAGATCGCCAACGACTCCTTAACGAACGTTGGTCGTGTACTCAGGAGAACAAAACTGGCTGAAAGTCTCGAACTGAAACAAATCACTGTCCCTATCGGCGTGTTGCTAGTGATCTTCGAATCAAGACCGGACAGTCTACCTCAGGTTGCGGCATTGGCGATGTCTAGCGCCAATGGTCTTCTTCTGAAAGGAGGCAAAGAAGCAGCCAACAGCAATCGGTATTTAATGGAGTTGGTAAAAGAGGCACTGAACACCGTAGGCGCTGCAAATGCGATATCCCTTATCTCGACCAGAGAAGACGTCGGTGACCTGCTGTCGATGGGCAAGCACATAGACTTGGTGATTCCTCGAGGCAGCTCCGACCTCGTCCGTAATATCCAAGAGCAATCGAAGCATATTCCTGTGTTAGGACACGCGGAGGGTATTTGTCACGTGTATGTGGACAAGGATGCGGATCTGATCAAAGCTTTGAAGATCGTCAGAGACTCGAAATGTGATTATCCTGCCGCTTGTAACGCTATGGAGACGCTGCTTATTCACGAAAGTCACATGAAGGGTAGCTTCTTCACGGATGTGTGCAACATGCTGCAAAAGGAAGGAGTAAGGGGATTAACGTGATTTCGGAACAAAGGAATAGTTATTATTGTACGTAACTAAGCGCTTAACATTCTAGGTAAAAGTATATTCCGGGCCGAACCTGAGGAAGCAACTGACGTTCGGGCCACCGGCCGCCAAAAGCATGAAAACCGAGTACGGAGCCCTGGAATGCGCGATTGAGGTCGTGTCAGACGTCGACGACGCGATAAATCACATCCACAAATACGGCAGTGGACATACGGATACCATCGTCACCGAGAATAACCACAGTGCCGCGCACTTCCAGAGGGAAGTCGACAGCGCCTGTGTTTTCCACAATGCCAGTACCCGATTTTCCGATGGATACAGATTCGGTCTTGGCGCCGAGGTGAGCCATTGAAATGAAAAATTCAAGAATTAAAAAATTTAAACGTCCGAAAGACTCGGCAGTCCCAAAACTCAAATATTAGATTTTTTTATTAATATTGAAAAATTCAAAACTTCAAAAATTCATCTTCATCGACTTGATCTCTCAAAATTTCAACAAAGTATGAATTTCTTATTACTTTAAGGTGGGAATTTCGACCGCTCGAATTCATGCACGTGGCCCGGTGGGGGTGGACGGGCTGTTGACTACGAAGTGGGTGTTGCAAGGTGACGGCCACGCAGCTGTTGATTTCGCAGAGGGTGGCGACCGAGTTTGGCTACATCAATCTTTACCTATCTACGAATCTGCATGAATTAAATCGGAACAATCGGAAAATATCGGAATCTTTGGTTCTGCAACACGGATTTTACATCAAGAGAAATTTCCAGGGAAAGATCAAAGGGTTGCCACTTTGGATTTATTCATAAAACAATCCAGATTACGACCAAGCTTTTTCTCCTCCCTTCAATCATTCGTCGCTGAATGTTCACAAATAGTTAAAAATTTAATCAAGTGGCAACGCAAACAGTTCCGCAAATTATAATCTCATCTATCTTCCACGAAAATCTTTCTATTCGAGAAAAACATTATTAGATCGTTGTTAATTTAATATAGTGTTAATAATACTACAACATAATTACAGCGCCGTCAAATGAATTGAAATAAATCAAAATATGTCAGTTTTTGTAAAATAGTCACAAAAGTACTATTATGTGAATTATATTAGTGAATATCTAGTTTGGTTTTAAAGTAAATAGCATTCGTAAGGATTGTTGTCGTAAATGAAATTATAGCAATATATTATTTTCCGTCGCGACATAATTTTGCTCTATCTTTCCACGAGCCAAAGCATGCTAAATCAGAAAATAAATAAAAGCAATGTATCGTATATGATTAATTTATAATTGTACAAATACATCGTCGATCAATTTGTACTTATGTTTTAAATTTTACCACTTTGTAATTTTCCCTTCTGATCATGACGGACGTGTACGAAAGATAATTTCATATAAATATAATATGAATTCTTATTAGCGAAAAAGCATCTGTTTGTAACTTTAACAAGTTAACAAAGTTTGTTAACAAAAGTGACCCTCTTGTTCGTAGTTAGTTTAGTTATTTCAAAAGTTAAGTCATCCGATTATATTTGTAACTCCTCAGTTAACTGTCAAATTGGAAACTTTTAAGTTATCTCAAGCATAAATAAAGACACTAAGTAAGAACTTTCTAAATTTCGTTAATGATGCTGCAAATCGTTTAGCAGATACAAGAATAAAAATCGATAAAAATATGTAGAATAAAATCGTTGTTGAATATAAACAAGTAAGAATATCTCATAAAATGCGTATAATTGTTTATCAATAATGACGTAAATTGTAATCGGACAACAAACTAAGTACAGAGTTCAATCTCGGTACAAGAATAATTTTACAAGTGGTTCAAGAACCTATAAATCACTACTACTATTGTCGATAGTGAATATTTTGTATGATTAAATTTTTATAAAATCTATAAATTTTATTTAATCTACAAGATTAAAGACGAGTATTTGTTTTCATTAATGACTATTCTTTACATTATAGTCGCAAAACAATTTGTTTGAAATTTTTCGAATGGTAATTTATGATACGATCGAGGACTGGCACTATTTTTGAAAAGAAAAACCAACAAAAGGACTACGTTCTTGCTTCATTAGAAGGCTCATTAGGATCGATTTATTCGAACGAACACACGTTCAAATTTTAAGCTAATCTTATAAACCATTCAGAGAAATACTTAAACAAAACGCATTTCGCGCGGATTTAATAAGAGATTGAACGCAATCGATTTCTATGTTTCACGATTCAATTGAAAGAAATAAGAGCTTAATTTATAACATTTTCAAGCCTTCAAATGCCTGTCGCTTTTTCTTTTTAATTGTAGCATAAAAAACCGAACGTTAACGAATAATTAAATAAGATGATAATATGAAATGACATAATATGATAATATTTGAAAAACAAATAATAAAGAATATGTGTTTATTACTTCTCTTTTGGTATAAAAATGAAGTTTTCCTGCATGCGTCATCAAAGTCTTCTTAAAGTCTTCCTTTTAAATAACTTTTTATTCGATCAAGACTTTTTACATATTTTCTGGAGCCCATAATTTAAACGTTCGATCGTAAGAACTGGTCCCGATGAATTTATGATCGGAGGAAATATCGACTGACATAACTTTACCATCGTGACCTGGTAACGTTTTAAGTGGTTGCCAAGTTTTATTCGACCATATTTTCGCAGTATTGTCATACGATGCTGTGACCAGGTACTGTCCTTCTATCCTTTGGTATTTCACATCTGACAATAAATTTGTATGCGCGGGTATTGTATATACGCAAGATCTCTTTCGTAAGTCCCATATTTTACAAGTATTATCTTCGCTCGCTGTTGCTATATGAAATCCATTCGGAGAAAAGTCGATACCGAAAATAGATTTCAAGTGGCCCTCCATAAACATAATGCATCGTCCTGTACGAAGATCCCACACTCGACCAAAAGAGTCGTGACCACCTGTGGCACTTACGCTACCGTCACCCTGAAAGCTATATATAAACTCTGTAACATGTTACTTTTCTTTTTATTGCAGATATTGACAATTTTAAATATGCTACCTAATGCAGTGCACAGCTCTCGCATGACCCTCTTGATGTAAGACTTCTGCTTGTTGTTCCAAGTCCCAAAGTCGCCAAGATGCGTCATAACAACAAGTCCCAAGAAATCTACCAGATGGATGAAATGCTAATCTTGAAACTCTGTGTGGTTCATGTCCTTCGACCTCAGCTAAAGGTTCCTCCCCAGATCCACCACTCCACAATTTTACTGTTCCTAGATATACAATAAATATTAGAAATAATATTTACTGCACTGTATAATCATAATCTTTCAGTGGAATAAAAAAAATTTGTATACCATCCGAAGCACAGGATGCTAACACACAAGTCTGTCCAATTCTCTCTCCTACCACCTCTTCAGTAATAGTAGCTTTTGGATGAAAAACAATGCAGCCAACATTACAAGTATGTCCTTTAAGTGTTCTTAACAAAGTACAGTCAGGTACAGACCATAGTTTACACAAGCCTGACCATGAAGCTGTAGCGAGCACTTTGGAATTTGGACTAAACTGACAGAAAGAAATTGGCCTAGTATCCCCAATTTGAGAACAGTAAATTGTTAATGCTTGTAATTTTTTCAGAAGCTCTTGACGACGTGCTGTACGTGTAGCTGTTGGTAACTCCAAGTCTTGCCTTGCTTTGTCCAATCTAGCCTTTGCTCTGGGCAATGAGTATGCTATCAAATAAATAAAAGTATCACATAAATAAGCAAATATAAAAAAATTAAAAATAATATAGTTTAGACTCACCAGCGATCCAAGAACGTGCTATTTGAAGTGACTCTGGTCCCTCATGGTACCACGTTGTTTCTGTATCTCTCTCAATTGGATGAGAAGGTTTCTCTTCATCTTCATGCTTTTTCTTTATTGCATCTTCTCCCAAGTTAGCCAATAATTCTCTCAATCTTGTTCTCCTATCTGCGGGCCCTTCACCAAACAGACAAATAGGTTCTCCTAATTGTCTTAAATTCTTCTTTACTTCTGAATCATCGGTAGACACATTGATTTGACGGGCTTTCTTTCTACGTTCAAATTCTTCTAAGAGAGCTTGTCTATCTTTAGACATTTCATCTTCAAGCTCCATATATTCATTTGATATATGAATGTTTCCCAAAGTAGCAGCAGCGCTGACATTATCTCCCAAATTCGTAACATCTTTCTCCTCTTCTGAAGATTCGGCCACAACAGCCAATCTAGCACGCTCCGCTTCTTCGAGAGATCCATAATGAACAGTTTTCTGTTTTTTGACATAAACCAAATCTTCGTCATCTGACATTTCAAATGATTACTGATTGTAGAAATAAACTGCAAAAAAACAAATATACAAAATTAATAACGTGCGGTTACTTAACCTCATATGCAGTACGAACATAACCTATATTGCAAAGAATATGTACGTAACTATATTTTTAAGACATGATGTTTCGTGTAAATTATACAGACCAATACGCACCAAAATAAATACAGTAATCGTTGAAACTTATTAAATTAATTTCATTCATAAAAATCTCGTCTCATCACAATAAAACATTCTATAACTATTGGCTGTCAAGCAAACAATACTGTACATTATTCGAATATCTAATAATCGATAATATTCAAATCGACTTTTATCAAAATATCGATATTCAAATGACGTTATTTGTAAACCTTCCTTTAATTTAATCGTATCAATTTAACTTTGATCGTTAAATCAATTTTATTCAGAGCTGGAATAATAATATATCCTGTCACCAAGTCATTTTCCCTACCACGTAAATTAAACTGAAATTTTTTTTCATTTTACATAGTTAATGATATAGATTTATACATAATCTAACACGTAATTATAAATTTATATATATATATATATACATATTAAAAATCATATTACGTTCGAAGTTTATAATATTGTGAGATTTTTTTTTGAAGATTGGATGGCCTGATTTTGATGATATGAAACGATAAAAATTCGTTCGTAACAGAACGAGAAGTCATAACACTCTGAAATAAATAATTGCTTTTAATGACGAATGAGTGGAAAAGTATAAGGTACGAAAATTTTTAATAAACAAATGAAAGAATAGTAGTGACTCAAGCCATTAAAAAAATGACTGTTACTTAGACTCTAATTATGAAGTTACTTGTTTATTTATTTTGGATTAGGGAATTCAGTTAATGTTCAGAAAATGTTAATTTATCTTTGAATAATGAAAGCAGCAACTATTGTGATTTTGTATCAATTGTAAGTGTTTCTGCAAATATTAATTTTAATTTTAAGCATCTTCTATATTGTGTAGGAATGTCTGTATGGGTTGCTTCTCTAGGTACATGTTAACCGTTGGATTTCTATTTACTTTGTTCTGTATTATTCGAATTTAATCTAATCTGTTACAGTCAGTCGACGATAATTGCTCTTCTGTGTAATTTGTAGAAAAATTTACAGTTCATGCTGTTTGTTTCTGACTCTAGCATTATTACAAAAATTTTATTTAGAATTTTATGGGCCATAATTATTTAGTTTTCTTAACATTGTATGATGGTTTTAATTTTGCCAAGGTTGTTGGTATAGTTTATGTAGGATTTCGTAGGATAATAGTTTTCTTTTTTTCCTTGTGTGTTTCTTTTCTTTTCGTAAATGTTTATGAACCCTTCAATCTGTATTTAGAAAGAAAGTTGATTAGTAATAACTTCTAAATGCGTGCCTATTGATAAGTACGTGTACTTAAAAGAAAATTTTCAAAATCTGCTTCTTTGATTTTCCTTTTGAGGAATAGTATGTTAGGAAATAGTGTAAGAGATTTGTTCGATTATATATTTATTTTTGTATAAATTATTTGATTGTGAAGATGAAATTTCCTGATTGAAATGTGAGATTTATTGAGTATAATTCGAAGAAGATAATTTGTTAAACATAGTACTTGTTAAGTATAATTTATTCTATATTGTCTAAATTTTGTTTATGTGATATGGAGCTGCTGCCAGATTTGGCGGGATAGGATGATGAAACTCTTAGCTTCAGTTCCCCCTCCAGTCCGTGCTTAACCAATCAGAGGCAACCGAGCGTTAGCTCTACTGCATAAAAAAAAGAGCTTTACCGCGCTAGAGCGCATTCTACGTATCATTCTTGTATCGTATACTTGACTGAAGTGTTTTCTGCGTTTTCTGCGATTTGAAACAATGGCCCGCACCAAGCAGACTGCTCGTAAATCAACTGGTGGAAAGGCTCCACGAAAACAATTGGCTACTAAGGCTGCTCGTAAGAGTGCCCCAGCTACTGGCGGAGTGAAGAAACCTCATCGCTACAGGCCGGGAACTGTTGCCCTTCGTGAAATTCGAAGATACCAAAAGAGCACTGAATTACTCATCAGGAAATTGCCATTCCAACGTCTGGTTCGTGAAATCGCTCAAGATTTCAAAACCGATTTGAGGTTCCAGAGCTCTGCTGTCATGGCCTTGCAAGAAGCTAGCGAAGCTTATCTCGTTGGTCTGTTTGAAGACACCAACTTGTGCGCAATCCATGCTAAGCGCGTAACAATTATGCCTAAAGACATTCAATTGGCTCGTCGCATTCGTGGAGAAAGAGCTTAAACAGCTCGTATAAATTAATCGGCCCTTTTTAGGGCCATAATTTTTTTCAATGTAGAAACATCCAGGTTCTTTACTGCATTTACAAATCTTTACCGAACTAATTGTCAATCCAATGAAAATGAAATCGTCTTCTTACATCACATTTTACGTTCTTATCTGCTCGTCATACTATAGGAATTTATTAAGAACAAAGAAAATTTTTTATATTTTATCAATTGATGCAATAATATAATATGTAATTATTAAAAATTCAAATAGACATTGAATTACTTCGTTTGAATTCCATTTTTGACAGTATTGCACGACTTACCATATTTTAAGATATTTCGGGTTTTCAACAATGTATAACTTAAACATTTTGTAGTTGGAGTTTGAAGTAGACATCGTAGCTCAACCCCCTGCACGGAACTGAACATCTGCTTCACGTCCCTTTGTTTACGTAAGCAAGCCTCCGCTGAATTTTTGACGAGTCGTTTTCTATCTTTATTCAAAGTCTCAAAAATTTTAAATCGAAGTGTAAATTTTCAGATGTCTTTGCCAGAAAGGAAGAAGTTTCCGTCTTCATCTTTGCTTTATAGAGTTAGAGAATAAAAAGAAAATATAGTACAGTACCTTAAAACAGAATTTTCTTGTCGAAAATTTTATTAATCTTTAAGATAACTCTGTGTAAATAGAGATATTTAATTTAACAGTAAGCTTGTACATGTACGAATTCGAAGATCTTTAATAAATCGAATTTAATTTTTTAACATAAAAAGACAGGCAAACCTTAATATCAATATGGTTAGGAGCATATAAAATGAAGAAAAGAAGAAAAGAAATTTCCAAAAACAGACATAGAAACAATAAATTGCCATAGCGTCACTATTATCCGAGTGAAGCGGGACTGAAAGGGAAGAAAGACCAGTATATCGTTCAAAGGTATTCTCTTAGAATCATTAATTTTAGGGTTTAACTTGTTAAAACTAAACATTTTGACATTATTAAAGTGGCTTTTCTGGAAATAAGTATAAAGTTTCATATTTATACCTTTCTTTCAAAAGAATTGTTAAAGAAACCTTCCATAAGTTGAACCCATAAATTAATAATAGGTAATAAACCTTGTACCTGGAAAGTATGTATATATCGAATAGATGCTGATATACATGGTTATTAAGATGGCTATTTAATGTAATGACTATTTTAGTTTCTGGGACCCATAGAAAAATATTTTCGGGAAAACTTGAACACAATATTCTCATTAACTCTTAAGAACGCGAACAAAATGTCTTCCGATTATGGCAACCAATTGTCAAGCGCTGTGCTTTCGTTTCCATCCTGTATTTCTTACAAATAATTCTGAATTTAGAGTTGAATAACTTAGGCGTCGAGGACGTTACTATTATTAATGATAAAGTTTTTTTATTTACAATACTTCTTTCTCTTTTAACACAAGTTTCAATTGTTTTTAATTGTAAAATCTATTACAAAAAAATTTAACAGCAAAACGTCCGTTATTCGATCCTTCTAGCACTTTCTTCGATTAGCCCCCTCCAGTCCGTGCTCAACCAATCAGAGGCAACTAAGCGTTAGCTCTACTGCATAAAAAGAAGACCTTTGCCGCGCGACAGCGCATTTTACCTATCGTTGTTGCGTTATACGCTTCGCTGTAAAATTTTTATTACAATTAAAGACAATGGCTCGCACCAAGCAGACTGCTCGTAAATCAACTGGTGGAAAGGCTCCACGGAAACAATTGGCTACTAAAGCTGCTCGTAAGAGTGCCCCAGCTACCGGCGGAGTGAAGAAACCTCATCGCTACAGACCTGGAACTGTTGCTCTTCGTGAAATTCGGAGATATCAAAAGAGCACTGAATTACTGATCAGAAAATTACCATTTCAACGTTTAGTTCGTGAAATTGCTCAAGATTTCAAGACCGATTTGAGATTCCAGAGCTCCGCTGTCATGGCCTTGCAAGAAGCTAGCGAAGCTTATCTCGTTGGTCTCTTTGAAGATACCAACTTGTGCGCAATCCATGCTAAGCGTGTAACAATTATGCCCAAAGACATTCAGTTGGCTCGTCGTATTCGTGGAGAAAGAGCTTAAACAGCTCACATGAACAATCGGCCCTTTTTAGGGCCATAACTTTCTTCAATGTAGAAACTCCAAGTTTTGAACTATACGTTTGAAATATCCTACAATTGAAATTTGAGCGAGGTGTTTATAAAAGACAAATATATTTATGAAGCATTTTCTTTTGCATCCATTTGTATGTAATTTTTCTTGCAACGGATGATTTTTACCTTTATGTTAAACATTCGAACATTATATCGCCTCTAATAATGTTTGTAGAAAAATTTAGAAAATTGAAATACTTAACATGTAATTTGCGATCAACTGATTTTACGATTTTTTTATCAATTTTGGTCTTTCAATGGCCTTAAACTTTTTCACGTAGTGTCTACCAAATGTATATACGTATTTAGAGTAGAATTTAAAAAATATACTAAAATGTAAGTAAAACGACATAAATTAGTCTGAGTTTTACGATTTTTAAAATCTCGTACGATAAATCTAACTTTATGTTACAAGCGCTATAAAAATTATGAAGGTTCTGTAATGATTATCTGATATTCTGTAAACAAGAAAGCGGTAGCCACTTAAACATACCATAAATTAGGCCCTTAGGCACATACTGTAGAATTGAAAGAATTGATTGTTTTGCAGCTATCCTTATGGTGACGAAAAGGTTGTCTCCTGAGTTTACTCCCGTCCTCTGACATTTCATTATACTAATCTAACATTTCACTTCTTTTTCTGAGTAATGAGTTGTTCGTTTTTAAATGGTATTTCAACTGATTGTGGTTTTATCTTTTTAACTCATTGTCGTTATTCTCATTAGTTCTTAAAAGTAACTCCAATGTTTATTTCAATAGTTTGACAATTTAGACTTTTGTTGTATTGATATTTAGTGCAAAAAAAAAAAAAAAAAAAGAAACTGAACTGCTACAAAATTTTGAATATATTCTTTTTTAAAATTTCGTGTATACAAAGTTCAAATTTTAAGTGTTTTTATCAACTATTATTGCCAGTTGTCTGGATACTCGAATATACTTACTTCGAATTTTACACAGATTTTATAGAATGTTAGTTGGATATATTATATAAATATTATGAACCAAGAAATTCCTTCGTAATAAAATACTTTGTGGCCCTAAAAAGGGCCAGTTTTGTAAATGATTATAAAATTAAGCTTTTTTCTCAGTCTTCTTTGGCAACAAAACTGCTTGAATGTTCGGTAAGACACCACCTTGAGCAATAGTTACACCGGAGAGCAATTTGTTTAATTCCTCGTCATTACGAATGGCAAGCTGAAGATGACGTGGAATAATTCTTGTTTTCTTGTTGTCGCGGGCAGCGTTTCCCGCCAATTCCAACACTTCTGCCGCCAAATACTCCATGACGGCTGCCAAGTACACTGGTGCCCCTGCACCAACGCGTTCTGCGTAATTTCCTTTACGAAGAAGTCTATGTATGCGACCAACAGGGAATTGCAGGCCAGCTCTGTTGGAACGAGACTTCGCCTTTCCCTTAGCTTTTCCACCTTTGCCGCGGCCAGACATGTTTCACGTTGAAAATCGAGTAAGTACTGCAAATGCACTTTAACAGATGTAAGAGAAATATGCCAGTTATTTTCCAACCGTGTCTTTATACACTAACCGTTACGAACACCAAACGACCAATGACGTGCCAGCTCGCACGCCATTGGCCCGCCGCTGCTGCTGCATTTCACAATATATAAGAAGCCTTCAGGCGGCATTCGACATTCAGTCTTGAATTCTCACAACAGTCGAGTGTAATTCAGGTCTACGAAAGCAAGTTACGAAGATGCCACCGAAAGCAAGTGGAAAAGCTGTGAAGAAAGCTGGTAAAGCTCAGAAGAATATTAGCAAGTCTGATAAGAAAAAGAAGCGCAGGAGGAAGGAGAGCTATGCCATCTACATCTACAAAGTGTTGAAGCAGGTCCATCCAGATACTGGTATTTCCAGTAAAGCCATGAGCATCATGAACAGTTTTGTAAATGATGTTTTTGAGCGTATTGCTGCCGAAGCATCGCGCTTGGCGCATTACAACAAGAGGTCCACCATCACATCACGGGAAATTCAAACTGCTGTCAGGCTTTTACTGCCTGGTGAATTGGCTAAGCACGCTGTTTCTGAGGGTACTAAAGCTGTCACCAAGTACACCAGCTCGAAGTAAACATTGCAGCATCATACAACAACATAATCATCGGCCCTTTTCAGGGCCAACAATTTTATGACAACGTAAAACATCTTGGTTATAACTTGACAACTATTTTGATAACTCGCCCTGTAGATTTTCGGAGTCATTTTCTAGTATTGTAATATAGTAATAAATATATTTAAATAATAAATTGCACTTCTATATATTTATACGTATGTTTATTACTCAGCATAGAATTAAATCTAGTGTAAAATAACATTCGTGTTTCAACGTTTTGTTTTATTACAACAAAAATTTAAGAAGTATTGCAAGCCATTTTTCTAATTGTTTTCCGCGGTGTTTTGCAGCTATTGGACTTGCGCAGTTTATGCCTGAGGAACATTCAATGTGGCGATCAATGATGTAAATTTCTTAAATATTTTACTTTCTAATATTTGTATATTTTTTAAGTTGGAAAATATCAAATACAAATATTAAAAGCACCAAAATATAGTTATAAATATATAAAAGTACTAGATTGATTATAGAAATATAAGTTTGATGTTAATATTACTAATATAATCTAATTTTGTCATGTTTCGAAATTTTAGGTTAGAATGCTATTTTGCTAGCAACTATTACACGATGCTTTCATAACTAAAAATATATAAATACTTTAAGGATATTCATTAACACGATACAAGTTTTAAGCTACAGGAAAAACATTTATACGTTAGAATTTTAACAAAAACTAAAGAAAAACATTGATTGATTTGCTATTTATGACAAAATTTTTACTGAGGAAAGGTTGTATATTTTTCCATTTTACATAATTGATGTCGAAAACAGAAGACTGATAATGCCGTCGATATGTTAAAAGTTCCATAGTAGAATTATTAATTTCAGTGTAATTTCATATGTGAAAAATTACTATATATTTTTAATTTATGAAAACTACAGTTATTTATCAAAAAATGTACGTAGCAAATTCGTTAATTAATTCATGAAATTTATTAACTATTAATATTTATTTTGAAATCAACATTGATGAACCATTATAGAAATGGCTTCCATAGATGGAGCCACTGTCACTTGACAACGCGAAATCTAATTGGTTGAGAAGAGAAGTTATTTCTGACGGAAAAATGCAGTATCATGAAGTTATTAAATAAAACAAATTGAACAAATTCCACAAAACTATACAACTGTATTATTATTTCCCTTCCCAATTACACTTCAATTATTTTTTAAAACTTTGGTAACTAAAGTAAAAATTTCTTACACCAGATGTCAGGATTTACGACCTTTAGCGTACCCTCCATACTTAAATTTTTTGATGAACAGACAAACTGGTGTGCAGAAAGATAATGCACAAACAATAAGAAATAATAACACCTAAATCTTTATACAATATGATTTTTCTTATTTAACACATGAATAAATATTCAATTTAAGATTCTGCTATCCCTTTTCATATCACAGAACGTAAACTTTTCATTCAGCGCAACAAGCAAATCAATGATGACGTGTCTTGTAGCTTGTGCGACTCTCTCAAGTTTTTACTCTGATCGTAAACTTTTTTATCATATTTTATAAACGAAATAAATTTTGAAAACCTTTATTGCTCTAAGCTATTTATTGTAGTAACATCCGTGATTTTTCAAAGTAAAATATGCTTATATATGTATATACTAATATGTACATATGCAAAATTTTACATTTTTCTCAATAATATATATAAAAAACTTAGAACTTAGAATGCATAGCAGACGATGAGTATCAGATAAATGTGTAGGAAATATTACTCTCTTTTAAAATAGATTATTGATATACAAAAAATCATTTAATAAAAAAATTTTAAGACTAGAATTTTAAGAATTTTACACTATGATAGAGTAAGAGGCAAAACTTGTCCAAGAGGTTCAAAATATATGCATAGAATGTACTTGAAAAAATATTAATCGATACTATTGTACAAATGAGAACGTTTTTATAGTAGAAATATTTTGTACTATAAAAGTATGTAGTATAAAAGAGTAATACTTATGCTATTATAAAAGAAAAAAATTTGATGCTGTACTGAATTGTTACGTTTTCATATAAAATAGTAATAGAATTCCTAATATGAAACTTAATTTATAGTAAAACGAACTACAGATGAACGATTTGGAGAAAATATTTTGATATTAGTATCTTCAATTCATATACTGAATCATAGATTTCTCATGTATACTATCATGATCTCCATCAAAGAAGGAACAACGAATATAAATTAACTAAAGTCAAATGTCGTAAATTCTCATTTGAAGATACTAAGAACATGAATGATACAATAAAAATTCATTCTAGACATATAAACCGAATATTTCACACATCCATGGGAATTGATATTAATCCAATGATAGAACATTCGTGGTTCACGCTGTACATCACTAAGCGATCGAATATTAAGCAAGTTTTTTAACTATCCGTTGTAAGTAGGTTATAAACGATTGAACGTAAATTATCAGCAGTCCTTTTTTTACAATTTTCTATATAAGTATTATGCCAATTTTCGCGTAAATGTATAGATTTTTAACTTTTTCTATACGATGTTCTATCGCATCGAAAAGACGGACTTCGTCGAACGGCGCAATATTTCGATTGAACGAATGAATATTCTCGAAAATCCATGAATAGATAAAACTACAAACACAGAGCTATATTTTCACGTAACAATTGCTTGTTTATATGCATATAATACAGAGAAACAAAGGTCGAAAGTAAAGGTATATTTACCGCTTCTTCGCTGTCACGGAATCGCGGCATCCGACATATTGGGTGAGACTCTCTCCATGGTCCGCGCTTAAGAAAGAATACCGCTGTCACCGAGGCTAACTACCATTAACCGAGAGCAGCATTCGTCTAGCTACCTGCAGACACTTTATAAAAAACCGTTTGTTGTTGAAATATTTTCACAAAAATGGAAGATAAAGCGAATTCTAGTAGCACCGCGGTAGAATCTGCCGAAAATCCATCTGCACCGGCAAAGAAGTCGTCAAAGAGCAAGTCGAAAGCGCAACGTGAGAAGGCTTCTCATCCACCAACTTCTGAGATGGTCAACGCTGCCATTAAGGAATTAAAGGATCGCAAAGGATCATCTCTACAGGCGATCAAAAAATATATTGCCACCACTTACAAAGTCGACGGAGAGAAGTTCGCCCCGTTCATTAAGAGATACTTGAAGTCCGCCGTGACGTCTGGTGCTGTTGTCCAAACAAAAGGCAAGGGAGCATCGGGATCTTTTAAGCTTTCTACTGGGAAGAGTGAGACGTCCAAAGCCAAGAAAGTCCCACATCCAGCTAAGAAGTCCGCACCGAAGAAGGCACAGTCTGTTGAGAGGAAAACAGTCTGGAAAAAGACTGCACCCGCTAAAAAGCCAGCATCACCCAAGAAAGCTGCAGTTGAGAAGAAGCCGGCACCAGCGAAGAAGAGTTCATCCAAGGTAGCTGCTGCAAAACCGAAAGCAGCTAGCGAAGCCAAGAGCATGTCGAAGGCCAAAAAGACCGCTAAAGCACCAGCAGCCAAGACTAGAACACCTAAACCAAAGAAGGCAGCGGCACCAAAAACAGTCAAGTCTCCAGCAAAAAAATAATTATTTTTCAACAATATTATCACTCGAAAATCAAATGGCCCTTTTCAGGGCCACTAATATTTTTTACAAGGAGCATATCTCTGTTTTCTATCCATATATAAAATATTCCGTTGACTTAATAATTTCAGTCGTTAAAAAGTAAGAAAAATTGAAGTAGGATATGCGTTTTATCACTGCTATATTAATTCTTGGTAGCATAGAGATATTTTATATACTTCATTTTTTGCGATATTTCTATTTTGATCTTTGATTAAAAAGTACAGAAATAATAGTGAGTTTGAAACCATTATATTTCCAATCTTGTACATAAGTTGAACGCAGTGCTAGGGAATCGCTAATGGGAACGTGCTAACATAATCTCCCTAGTCTATGCTATCGACCAGTTCCCGCCAAAACAGGAGATGAGCACACCATGTACATATGTATAAAGATGGTAGCCAACAATTTCTTTCGTCAAAAATGACATTAAATTTAAAGATTATCATAAGGCGTCGAAGCTTTTTATCCGTGAACGAAGACTTAGTAATCAAACGTTTTTAAAGATACAAATCTTTCTATAAATTTTTATACCAGAATAGTTTTTGTACATAAGTATCTAACTTATTCGCATATTTTTCAGACAAATACAATCAATGTAATAAATAAAATAAATAAGAAAGAATCACAATCTAATTGGATACATGGGAAAATAAGAATTGGAAAGATGAACCATGTATGGAAATTTACGTGAATATTTTATTCGTATAATTTTATAGTTACTAGCTGCATTTTTATAAGCTATACCTTATATTTTCTAAAATAAATATTTATTATGTTGTAGATGTATGTACATATATCCGTTTTATTCGTGCTTTTTAATTTTATTATTTTGAAATGTAGAGTTCTTCAAATTATTGATCTTTTTGCTCTTTTGTTCATAGTTTGTCCTGCTTTGAATGGATTTATGAAGTTTTCTAGATAACATATCATTATTACTGTTATTATTTTTATAAATATTGAGTTTATTTGAGTAGAGAATCTTTAGCTATCACAGGAAATTGGAATAGCTATTTATATCATCTTCAGTAATATTGTAGAATTGAACATAAGCAAAAAAAAATATTTTATATGATGTATAATATACATACATATAATCTGTAAAGACTGAATTTACAAATTGATTATTCAAAGAATTATTACAAATTGATATTTATTTTCCAAATCAATAGTTTGAATACTATGCATATAGTTTTTGCAAAAAATATAATGAATTTATATTAACGAATAAATTTGTATTAGCAGCTTTTTACTGAATTTATTTGATCTTATTGCAATTTACCAATGTATGCCTGGCATTGGAAACGCTGAATAAAGTTTCTTAGAATCTCGCATTAGATTTTAAGGTTTTCTAAGAACTATATTATTACTTGTTATCTACCGATATCGATTTTAAATGACTATCATATTGATATCAATATAAATGAAATATTTTGTGTTCTAAAATACTTCTTGCCCTTTTATCGACTCTATTATTTTCTCAGTTGGGAATTTTAGTACTATAATTATTAAATATTTTTACTATAACTGTTAGATATTTTTTGTGCTTAAGATATAAGTATAAAATTATATATTTTCCCTAATATAGAGAAGAAAAATCCTCAGTATCTTGAAATTAAACTTTTAGTATCGATTTTAACTTTTTTGTAACGAGTTTGGTGTTGATGTATTCCATGCCTATCTACAATTTGATTGCTTTTGCCTAAATCAGTACGTGAGGTAAGGAATCAGTAAGTGATGTAGATATCTTTCTTTCGAAATTATATGCAGAATTTTTTTCTCTAGCGAATGAGAATTTTTTTGCATACTGGACTTGTCGGAGCAACGATGTATTCTAATTTTATGTAACTTATAGGGATTAAAGGGGTTCGTAGAACGACTGCATTTTACATCTGCCTTTCCAGGCATTGTTAAAAACAGTCGGGATGCAACCAGGTTATTGTTCAACATATACTTAATACATTTCACTGGTGAGAAATTCCCCCTTTCAGATGTAGCTACCCGGCTGTCTCTTATTGGCCGAGCACGAACTAGTGGGGAGACTGCACAATCGCCAATATAAAAGAGCGACGAACAGGGCGAAAACGACACATTTGGTTGCTGTTTTTCGACCAAGACTGATCACGATACACCATGACTGGCCGTGGAAAGGGTGGAAAGGGATTGGGAAAAGGAGGAGCAAAGCGTCATAGGAAGGTTTTGCGTGATAATATCCAAGGTATCACCAAGCCAGCTATACGTCGTCTTGCTCGTCGTGGTGGTGTGAAACGTATTTCTGGATTGATCTACGAAGAAACGCGAGGTGTATTGAAAGTTTTCTTGGAAAACGTTATCCGAGATGCGGTAACGTACACCGAGCATGCTAAAAGAAAGACTGTGACAGCTATGGATGTCGTCTACGCTCTGAAGCGCCAAGGAAGAACTCTCTACGGTTTTGGTGGTTAATTTGTGTAGTCATCTCTGTATTTTCAAACAAACGGCCCTTTTCAGGGCCAACAAAAGTTTTCAACGACGGAATTCTCTCTGTTACTAAGAACTGTTGACGCATGGCTTATGTAAATCGATAAAGCAATCATGGAAGCGTCTCCTGCCAACGAGTTCCCGCACGATACGTTCCGTCTCGCTTCCTTTTTTCTTGCGTATTTTACCTTGTATTTTGTATTGAAATGCAATAGAATTTATAGTCTAACTGTAATCGTAATAGAATTTTTAATTTTGTAATTTGAATGAGATAAAATAAATACTTGCAGTCGTACTTAACCTATAAGATTACTCAGCTAGCAATTTTAGAAGCCACGAAATAATACTACCGAATTATAGGAGTTTTTTAAAAACGTTACAGGCTAAAATCTATTTAATTTATCGTCAGTGAATGCATTTACTACCTCGAAAAAAATCACTCACATAACCTATAAAACCAATAAGTTACTAGAGATTTTTCTTTCTCACTTAGGATGATCTATTTTTACTTCATTACTTAGCGTTTTCAGATTCGAAATAATATGTGTGTTCATATTATGCTGCTTGTTCTGTTTTTTCTATGCAGATTATTATCAATTGTAACAACATGAAGTTTCAGCATTCTACGTACATATATAAAAATAATCATTGAAGTAAATAATGAATTTACTCAAAAAATTATTAAATATAGATTGTGATTATGTGATACGTAGGATTTTTCATGTATATGTAAGCAATTTTCTTTACCATTTTCTTTTTTATTTAATTTCTTGTTATATTTCCTACTATTTTTTTTCCACAAGTAAAAAATTTAATGTGCATTTGCATCTATTTATTTCCAAGATATAGTATGTACACACATACATATATACGTAGAATAATGATACTTATAAAATATGTATATATATCGTATACGTAGAATAATTTGATATTTATAAAAATTTGAAAAACTATGTATTAAAACATAATTTTAGTGATTTTTATTCAACATTTACATTCGATTCGATTTCTACATGGAAATGTTAAAAACAATTGAGAAAAGAATCTAATTCATGACACTTTCAACTGTTTTTTCTCCATCCAGCCATTACATTCATTCGTAGACATATTGATTCTTAGCCATGATTTATTCAAGCCGATAGACGTTTCTGTACGCACGAGACTTGTGTAAAATCATCGCGTTCATTGAACTACGTGTACAATTCAATATCTATCGATTCAGTATCGCTGTCTGAAAGCAACCTTATGGTATATTTATAATGCATTTTAAAGAATTCTTGAATTCCTGATGAGATTTTCTAACCAGAAACACAAATAAAAAGATACTTTTAATGTGTAAGATTTGCCGAACTCTGCTAAATGTCGCAATGTTATTGGAAAAATTCTTGGAAAGACTTGGCCCTATGCATAACAGGCTGCATGTGAAAGGTATATGTGTAAAATATAAAATGATGCATATGAAGTGCAATGTCTAGAATCTGGAAGATAACTCTCATGAAGGGAATAGAATCGAAGCGCTACACTATTGTTTAGTTTTTATATTTTCTAACAAATGCATGTATGTAGTATATGTACATTAACATAAGACAAAAGTGCCAAAAGTTTACTTAAATAAACTCTGTTTTTTCCAGTTTTTTTTCTTTTTTGCCATCAAATTTCCACTAAATTTCTATACACACTTGTAATTACTTTTTCAAGCATCATCGATATTTTCTATTAAGTTGCATAATTATTGCATTTTTATTAACAATTAAAACGTAATTTGATGATTAGCAGATGCATACGTACAGTAGCAGCAGCGCGCCAATCACAAAGCGGGAAGCGGTATGCGGCTTCTGATTGGTCGGCAGCTGCCTGCCTCGATTAGTATAAAAGCGGTGCAGTCCTGGATGGATACATCATTCTTCACTTGCCCGAGGAAGAGAGTTCTTTATCATTTTTCGCTTTCGTGTAAACAATCGCTGAACGAGAAAATGTCTGGACGTGGAAAAGGTGGAAAAATCAAGGGAAAGGCGAAGTCACGCTCGAACAGAGCTGGTTTGCAATTCCCTGTTGGTCGTATTCATAGACTGCTTCGCAAAGGAAATTATGCTGAACGAGTTGGTGCTGGTGCACCAGTTTATTTGGCGGCTGTCATGGAATATCTAGCTGCTGAAGTATTGGAATTGGCTGGTAATGCAGCCAGAGACAATAAGAAGACTAGGATCATTCCTAGACATTTGCAACTGGCCATCAGGAATGACGAGGAGTTGAACAAATTACTTTCTGGAGTAACCATCGCCCAAGGTGGTGTTCTACCAAATATTCAAGCTGTTCTGCTGCCCAAGAAAACTGAAAAGAAGGCATAAACCATTTTCTTCACCACTTGACTTTTGCACGAATAACAAATCGGTCCTTTTGAGGACCATCAATTCCTTTTACGAAGAATAATCTCAAACTAAACTGATTTCTGACTGACAATCATTGTTCATATAAAAAATAATTTTTGAACGTCGATTAGGAATAGGATACGCATAATATTAAAATAGAATTCGGAATCTGACGAGTGAGAGATGCATTTATTGTTAGCGTACACTTAAAGAAAATTGTTGATAGGAGATTGACCTTCGATGCAAACTAGAATAGATGCGTACATACGTAAAATGTGTCTACATTTCTGATAATTTTAAACAGTAATAATTTGAACAATGGAACAAGAGACATACTCTTCATTAAAAAGGAAAAGTTAAAGCGAAATATCAGAAATAATATCTAATACGTATTTAATAGTATAAATAATTTTACCGCGTAACGTAATCAAATTTTTCATTTCTCAAATAAAATAAAGCGTGGAAGATTTTGAAGCTCGAAATTCGAAGTTCAAAACATGAATGTGTAAGATTTACATACGCTTACATGAATGTGTAAGATTTTTATCGTACCCACTCTCGTTAAGGGCCGCATTTTCTCAATATAAACATGAGACTTGTCACAGAGGAGTCATTTGGCTGTCGAATTTCGTGAAAACAACACGTACCTGTTACGTTATATTAGATTCGTAGACTTTCTAACCTATTGGTGGCGTCTTTTCGATGGCGTCGCTTCGACACTCTTTTACTTTCATGTATATCTCAGTAATAGTATCATTTAATTAATACGCGTGTGTTTAATGATTTATTGAGCATTACGATAATGAAATCGTGTAATGCTTTGAAATTTTTTGCATTACTTTTGTTCAATAATCGATTTCATTTGTACAGTTGCCGGTAAGCTTGTTTGTACGTTCTTTTAATGGAATTTCAATTTGATTGTCATTTCATTTTTACATCATTTGGCACATTTGTTCTGATTTTTGGTTTCTTTTGTACAGGTTATTTCTTCATTACAGAGGTAGCACACAACACATACACTAGATTATTAATGGACTACACGATTATTAATGGTGAATCTAATGAACTTCAAAGAAATTTGGTAACATTTTATTTATTTCGTAATTTGGTAACATTTAGTATATAATTTATACAAATTAGTATATAATTTATAATTATTTGAAATACAATTCACCATACGTAATTTCGTAATTATGGACGATTTATTTGTATAATTATTTGAAAAAAAAAATGAAAAGAGAAAAGATTAAATCAATAAATTTTTTATTTCGAATATAGAGATCGTGGTTACTTAACTATGTACTTTCAAATGGATATGTACTCTTGCATTACATTATTAAATTGAAAGTTTTCGTATTTTACTATACTATGTGTACTTTACTAAATTATACTTGCTTCTTTCGAACACGCCAGCAAGTATAATTAAGCAAATTCAAAGGAAGATTTCACACACGTTTTTCATACTATTATTTCTCAATATATTTAGCTGTGAAATTTTGCTTTGTTTAAATATTTTTTAATGATTATAATACGCGACATGATATATTGCTAATGCTCATACTTTATCGAATACAATTCAGACTACAATTTCGAATACGATTCAGAATACAATTTCTGCAAATAGTTGTCTTTCATTTACAATTAGAATAATCAGTATTGAGAAATATTTTATAATTTACAACTTTAAAATATCTTCAATACATATTTAAGCTTCTTTATAATTGTTGGAGCTTAGACAGCTTCAGTAAATGAAACACTGTGATCGGAGCATTTTCCCTCGCAAATCGCGAGAATAAATCGTAATCAACAAATACGGAATTTTCTAAATTAAAGACGTTAGACTTCTTATCAGCGTGAAGAATCGATTTGGTAACTTTGGAATATTTATGATTAAAGGTGGCCCCTTCGCTCACTTTTTCATGCTGATAAGAAGTCTTGACGGTCACCACGCTCGATCGCGATTATCTTTTGTTGTCATTCCCGGTCGATAGAGTTTGTTTTGTTTAGTGTCTTCAAAAACGTCGGATTATCACACAATATTCAAAATAACGTTACATGAATTCACATTAAGGCAGTCGAACAGCATTTTAAGTCTGAGCTGTAAAATTTCGATTTGTGCAAACATTTTCGAATATTTATAATATCACACGACATGACATATTACTAATGTGCACACTTATACTAATAACGAACATTCAGAATATAATAATTGTTGTTTCACTTACAGTGCTGAGAAATATTTAATAATTTACAACTAATATCTCTAATACATATTCAATACATATTCTTTATCATATCAGAGCAATACACCTGTCCCCCGATTTACACTGTACTTTATTTACACGATTTCGCTTTTACACGGTTTTTAAAATTACGGATTTGAAAAAAAAAAACTGATAAAAGTGAACATTTTGGCTGCATACATATTTCTACAGTCCTATTTTAATTACCGTTCGCTTGGTAATATTGGCGTACATATTTCCAGTCATTTTTTTTTTTTAATTCCATTCTTTTGATTAAATTTTTTTAAGGATCTTATATTTCTTGTTTCTATATGTAAAATGAATTATATATTTATACCTTCATATGTTTGTCCATTTTATGAATGGATTGTTATTTTTGTTTTTCAAGATATATATATATATATATATTACTTTTATTTTACGAGAAATAAATGACTGAATTATGCATATTTTTAGTTTGTTTGATTTACACGGTTTTCTGAGGAAGCTATTTTCAGTATAAATCGGGGAATAGGAGTATTTTCTAAATGAACGTATCTTTCGCTCTGCCCTTATCAGCTTTATTTTCAGAAAATTTTTGTGACCGCGCGCAATGCGGTCGGTAGAGCCAGTGTTTGTTGTGCGCAATATTTTAACATTTTTCTGAGCAAAATAGCTCTTATTAAATTAAATTAATTCACTTAAATAATATTTAAATAATTATAATTCGCGAAGATAGAGTCAGTGAGTCCGCCGATTGTTACTTAAACGAGCGCGTTGATAGTCTTTTATTATTATTATTTTTTTTTCATATTTTTTCTTGTTCAATATTCGTATTCGGTATTAGAGTCAGTGCTCAAAAGGATAAGTCCTCTCCAGGAGACCAAAATCGTAAGTAGTTTTAATATTGTACTTCAATTTTATATTCAATCCAAACCAAACCGAATCAAGTATATTTGGCTATCCAAACCAAAAATTGATTCAGGATAATTTGCTGATAGTTTCATTAACACGTTAAGTGCTGTGCGTACTTTGTTTATCTTTCCATTCGATAGTGTTCCGTGATAATGCAAGATAGTACAATTATTTCCAACATTCCAAATCAGAAAATTTTGTAAAACTATGAAGAAAATACAACACTGCTTAATTAAAATTATTATTATTATGCATTATTATATTGTACTGTTTTGTGCAATAAATAATCAAGCAATTCTTTCCTGTAATTTTCAATAGTTTTTCAATTTTTAATATATGTATACTAAATTTTATTCGTCAGTCACGCGGCTTGAACGGAAAGATTACTGTCGGTCACCAGTGACTTAACGTGTTAACTATGTAAAATTACTGCAAATTACTTGTATTACTGCTGTCTTCAAGAAAAAATTTAAAAATGCTTTTCAAATTAAATTTATCTCAAACAAATTCAAAATAATGAGTTTAATTAAATCTAAATGATTTCAATAATTTCAAATTTAAATGATTTCAATGACTTTAAAATTATATCCAAAAACGCGAAAACATTGAATTTCATACCTATACGAAATATTCAATATACCGGCTCACATTTGTGCCAGTGACATTCCTAGCCCAGATATTGGGAAAAATACGAAACTCCAAAACCTATAGTTCAATATTTCCGGTGGCCACATCCACAAACTAACAAAAACGCAGTATATGTAAAGTGCGCTGGAGCTCACGACACAAGAAACTGTACCAAAACTAGAGAAACACCAGAAACATGTGCAAATTGCAAAGCGGACCATCCTGCCAATTTCTCTAAATGCCCTACTCTCCTAGCCTTTTTAAACAAGAAAAATCTATTCACTAATAAACCTCAGCTCCCCTTAAAACAATCCCTATCTATCCACGCCCATTCACACCAATTTTCCTTCCCCCTACCAAAACCTCCTACAATTGCCCCACCACACAACCGATACATAAAATCAAACCAGGACTCTCATACGCAAAAGCACTATCTCCTCAAAATCCTCCTTAAAATTTCTCAACATACGAACAGCGACCAAACCGCGACTTCATAAATAACATAGAACAAATCCAAACAGCAGATCTAGACTTGTTCTTAAAAATAACGTTTAAAATTATCAAAATTTCCGACCAAGACATACCCTGGACTCACACCGTCAAATACCTTGGAGTCACTCTGAACTTAAAAATCACGTGAGCAGCAGCCATAAACAAAAGAGCAAATCTAGTTTATCCAGCATAGATTCATCCCGTTAATATCCAAAAACAGCAAACTAAAAACAAACCTAAAACTCAATCTATATAAAATTTGCGTTAGACCTATAATTATATATGGATATCAAATTTGGGCATATAAATATGATCCAAAACAAATTCTTGCGCATCATCCTAAACAAATCATACGATACCCCTATCAAAACACTACACACAATAGCGAACATACCAACCATCAAAAAATACATTCAGAATTCACTCATCAAGGCGTACACCTCTGATCATCCAAATCCATTCGTCAGGAACACAGGAAACTATGAAACCACAAACATTGAACTTAAAATCAAGACAAAACTTCCAAAGCACGCAATAACGAAATAGAAAAACTTAACATCAACACTCTACATCACGATCGCTCTCAAGTGCAGCAGTTTTTTTTTTTTTTT